AGGCCTGCCCGATTTTTCGACGCGCGTCGATATTCTACGGTGTGCGCTCGGTGTAAACACCACGTGGCCGCCGCTGCACACTTCCTACGAACTGTGGACAAAATTCTCGTTCGACAATCGAAATCGATCTTTAACCGTGTTCCTCTGTCTCCGTAAGGGTTTTTCGGTGTCTTTTTGCTTTTTATCGCGTAATTTCGATCAACAGAGGAGATCGTTTTTCGTCGGTCAGCGATCGTACCTTTCGAAGAGCGACTTCTGATGTTGATTCTCTGTAATTGCGGCTTTTTTTTTTTTACGATTTCAATGTAACAGGCACGGTAGTTGCGTGGATGAAATTTGAACGAGGTGAGAATTGAAATTTCGTCACTCTTTTCTGCACGAGAAATTGAAATTCGAAGGTGCGGCAATTTTCCAAACCGCTTGAATTCGCGCCACTTTTACTTCGGCCGTGTTGCATAACCCCAGAGTGAAACGATTTTTTTTCGCTACAGAATCAATTGTATATTTTTCATTTGGTCGGAAACACGTGGTACATGTTAGAATCGACGCAATTAAATTCACGATTGATCTTAATTGAAGTAAATGACGATTCACGGGAGATTCTACAGGTTACGTAATGGCGGCGTGAAAAAGGAACATATTTTGTTTTTTCGTAAGCCTTTCGGACACTTCCTCTGAAACTGTCGAATTCCGTCAACATCCGTTGCACGAAAGCTGTGTTTCGATAAAAAAAAAAAGAAGAAACAATTCTCACATGTTTTCTCTTTAGAACATGTTTCTCCGAAGGACGAAACGAAGAATTCTCGTATCGCTCGCTCGCTTGGTACGGCGGTACTTTTGTTATGCAACAGAAAGATTAGTTATGTCTTTTCGTCTTGCTTTTCCGCGGCGTTGTCTTTCGTTAAACAAAGAAGAAAGAAAAGAGAAAAGAAAAGTTGGTAAGAACAGGTTGTTTGAGAAAAACGCGAACCCCGTTTGTTTTTTATCCGTGTTTTATTTCTTTGGTGCAAGGAAACGCGGACTTTTCGATACGTCGACGAATGTTCGGCGTTAAAACGGACAGGTTTTTCGTCGCTTATTATTCGACACGGTAGCCTTCTGCGAACGTTGCATCGATCTTGATGAACGATCGCAACAAAACCAAGGTTTATTTATTCTCCCGTGGTATTCCTTTGCATGGTTATCGCGATTCGATCGCTTTAAAATATACCTTTAGCATCCTATTGCCACGTTTTTGCCGGGATCTATTAAGCAAAGACGCGTATTTTATTAGAGTCTGACTATACTTTAATCGTCGAATGCGTAGCAACGAGACGCATTGTTCTTTGCTGATCGTTATTAAGAATAGCAAATCAGAACATGGTAACTATGTGCAATACATAGGTCAGGTTTTAAAAAATATATTTCAGATGATATTCTTACTTTTTTCTATCCGCGCAAAATTTCTGAAATCACAAACTTGTTACTTCGCAAAAATTACGACACGTTTCATTTGTCATATCTCTTATAAAATAGCAAATCAAATTTCAGAACACGGTGTCGAGGTTAGGTTAGCGAATATTTTTTATACACACAATATTTCTACAATTATAAACTTATTACTTATGCGGAGGATTAGCAATACGTACAATGACATCTAGAAGGAAGATGTCATGACGCGAAGAGTCTTGTATCGGTCGTCGTTTGAGATGTACAGAATGTCGTTGCACCTTGTAAACTCTAATAAAACGATAGAAAGTCTTAATTAACTAAATAAAGTAATATAAAGTTTAACACGTTACGGACCCGGTTAAAGTCATATTGAGGTTTGTCAAGAGTGCATTGTTTTTGATCCAATAGTTGGGTCGTTCCTAGACCATTGCGCGCCGTATGTGTTGGAAGCCTCTCGCAAGTTCATGAGAAAGTAGAACAAACGCATCTGATGTCACGTGAAGCCTTTTCTTTAGGCATTCACATGCTCGTAAACATGTGATACAGGGTGGATCGAAGGGAATTCCTGCGGGGTAAAAGGCAACGTTCGTCAGATTGGACTTGTACTGATTTTTATTAAAGGCGTTGCTTATTTGATCATAATTCTTGGTGACAAAATGCCACAAAGTTAACCCTTTCTATAGGTGCTTTGAAAATTTTGTTCGCACTGTGCTATTGACGCACTTCCATATTAATTTAAAACGATACAGCGAAAAGAAAAGATTTTGCGAACGTTGTGGAACAACTGAATCTGCCATGTGCGTTAGGTACTAAAATCTGCCGCAGCGAAAGGGTTAATGCCAGAAAACCACTCACAGCAGTTGAGTCAGTTGCATCTCGTCAGGCCATGCCTCACCAAACAGCATTGATCCTATCTATAATAGTCCTAATCCTGTTTCTAAACTTTCCCATGATAGGGTTGCCATCCGTCCGGGTTTCCTCGGATTTGTCCTAAGTTTTAAGGCGTCTGGGGACTTCCGGAGTCTACTCGTCAACGAAAATATGGTGCATGGCATGCAGATCGAGGAGTGTGGAATCAATGAAGCGTGTGCAGAGTGTGTTAAAGTTAAATTAGCCAGAAAGCTTCAAATATACACAGTCGAAGCATATTAGACCTAGTGCACACCGACGTATGTGGCTCCAAGCAAACGATTACGCCCGGAGGAGAAAGGTACGTGCTCACTATAACAGATGACTTCAGCTCATACACAGAGATGTATCTAATGGTATACAAATCAGAAGCAAAGCAGATCGCGAAGTACCTAAAAGGCACTATTCATCATAGACTGAAACTTGGAGAAAGTGACCGGAAGAGAGGAGAATTAATTGGTTACGTGAACGCAAATTGGGCGGAATCCAGAGTGGACAGGAAATCGAACACAGGACACCAATATAAGTAACTTAGAGCAGCTCTATAAGTTGGGCGAGCAGGACACAGACCTGTGTAGCTCTATCATCAACAGAAGCAGAGTACGTGGTACGAAGCGAAGGTTACCAGGAGATGTTACGGCTAATGAAATTGCCAAAGGATTTCGGCGAGGAAATCAAATTACCCGTTGAAATATTCGAAGACAACCAAAGTTGCATAAGTCTCACAAACAAATTGAGCAAGAGGTCAAAATGTATCGGCACAAAGTATCACTTCATTAGGGACCTGAAGGAAGGTAACAAAATTGCAATCAATTATTGCAGTAATGATAGTACGTTTGCAAACATGTTAACCAAACCGCTGAAGCGTACAAAGTTGCGGAGGTTCTCAAGGGATCGTGTGATTGCTAGCTGGAAGGATGACGTCATTGAGGAGGATTGTTGAGGATTAGCAATATATACAATGACATCTAGAAGGAAGCAACGGTGCAATTGTCACCGGCTTTTGTTTTATACGGGAAGAGTCTCGCGTCGATCGCCGTTTGAGATAATACAGAACGTCGTCGTACCTTCTAAAGTCTAACCAAATAATACAAAGTCTTAATCAACCAGATAAAGTAATATAAAGTCTAACAACTTCACATAAATTCACGACACATTTAACGTATCGCACCTCCTATAAAACAGCAAATCAAACTTCCGAACACAGTATCGAGGTTAGGTCAGAAGATCATTTCCATTCACGACAGAATTTCTAAAATTACAAACTCATCACTGCGCAAAAATTACGACACATATCACGCATCGTATTATCTACTACAAACAGATTACATGAACTTTTTTTTAATAATCTTACTCTCGATTCTAACTGTTCCTACTCCCTCCCCCATTCAAATTCATCGTGTCAACTCTTTCGAACGTGTGCGTAGTACCTGTACACTTCACCGACAAGTAGTATCGTGGTCAGAAAGTCGCCTCCTCGTTGAGTGGGTCTCACGCGATCGTCGTCATCGAAAACGGCCGTTCTCGATCGTTGAGAATATTTCCCCGGTCAGGTGAAATTAGTATCTTCCAGAGGTTTCCACTTGTACCTAACCGTGGTAAACAAGTGTGCGAAGTGACACGCGCGTTTTGACGCGACACACGGTTGCTGGCACGGAAGAAAGTAGTTTGAGAAACGCTGCCAATGAAATCAAGATTCGGTACGGTGGGATCGTTGGAAGGTGAAGGCGGGAAGGGGCAGGGCAGAAAGAGTTAGCGAACGAGGTGAAGGTATTGCGAGCGCCGCTTAATTGCGATGCACGCCGTACGACACGTGTCACAGCATTGTGCGGCCGGTCACGCATTCCCATCGATTACATCGACGACAAACGAATTTACAAGCGCAACTGGAACGTGCTTCGCGAACGCTTCAATAAGGCCTTTCCAAATGGAAAGAAAGAGGAGGAAAAAGAAAAAGAAAGGATTCCCTTTAAACTGCACGATTCGTGACGAGGTCTTTGCTCGCCTCTTCATACCAATGAACGGCCCGTTATAAATCGCTTTTACAGAAATACTCGCTGTTGTACGCGCGCCATCGTCCATAACTATCAGCCCGTAATATACGACGCGTTGCTTCTGCACCTCGAAAAACGCGAAAAAAAAAAATGTGTATATATCTTCGTTCACGGGAAAGATTGTTAAACGCGTTACGAGATATGTGTATTCTTATCGATAAATTCGACGATTTTCACGTTTCCTACGTTACGGT